TTCAAATGATTCACAAAGTGAGTTAGAAATGATCCAATCCTGAAAGGATACCTGCTTGGAATAGTTGAAACAATTTGTTCCTGTCTCCTCTGCCCAACTGTCACCCTTATTTTATCTTATAAAAATCTGTAACAATACCTCGACTGTTTGGTGTGACCAAAACTCATGTTGGGCTTTTTATAGAAAAATACTGAACAGGAAGATCAGTATTAAGAGTTGTAAACACAATGTTACTAAACTAAGGTATAATTCCATATTTTCCTCTCTTCCAAACAATTCTTTATTTATTTATTTATTTATTTATTTATTTATTTATTTATTTATTTATTTATTTATTTATTTATATTGGTTCTTTTTAGTTAACCATGACAGTAGAACCTATTTCAATATCAATTTTTATTAATTTAAATAATTTAAATGGCATTTTGTGTACCCCCAAAGGATCTTTTTGTTCCTGGGCAAAAAGATGCTTCTTGGATCCATAAGTATCCCAGGACTTGGAAAACGGGAGGAACTTTTCTTCTAGGACAACTTATAACCCCATTCACAATACTTAAGGTCTTTATCCTGGAATAAAGAGAACTTCCACTATTACAGGTGATCACCATGATGACAACCTGTTGGATTATGAGTTTGACAGCAGTGAACATTTCAAGGGTGTGGTTTACCAGGTGGGTTTCATCACAGGAGATTGGCAAGAAGAATATTGGGATCCTGGCCAGGAGTTGTCACTATCATCAAAAACTTTTCCTGCACTCAGGAGAACCACCTATTCTACCACTCAGCTCAGTAAGCCCAATGGAGATAGTAGGATTCCCCTATGTAGACCTGGGTAACCACGTTGCATTAAATTACCTCTTTGCTGCAAAGAGTGGTATCTGTGCTGTATCACGTATCTTATGCTGTACTTGTATAAATACTTCTAGACAGGTTGATTTGGAACCTTCCAAACCTTACAATTGGCTAAGTCCCTAAAAGGAATACCTTCAAAAGTCCCCTTAGCTGGTTAAACTTCTAATTCTCAGATATTTTCAGTTCAGTATCATTTGACATTGACTCCCTCTTGGGTTCTACCCTATAGTTTTAAATTATTCTCTTCATATTGGAGTCAAATATTTGTTTCCCCTCTGTCAAAATTATTCAGCCTATTTTAACAGATGAATATAAGAGAATCCCACCAGAATCCTATTAAGTCAGCCTAAACATTCTGGGCTCTCTCCAGCTAGAAAATGGAGCCAGTTCTAACCAAGAGACTTTGATTTAGATGTGACAAATATCTATCAGGATGCCCCTCATTAGTATATGGCTCCGATTGTTCAGTTGGTCACTGCCCATCCATCTGGATATAGAAGTGGGACAGGCTTCATCCAGAGAAGGTAACAAATGACTCTGGTATCATGGTGGGACACAAATGCTTTATTCAATCAAAATGCTGCCCAATGACAAGTTTCCATCAAAAGGGAGGAATGTTTCCTTTAAGAAAGGCTGAATTTCCAAGGAGGATCTCAGATGAATAATTGGGCTTGAATTCAGAAAGAAATCTTGCAGTCATTTGTTGACTGGGTGTCATACACATGGTCTGTGTTCTGGGGAGAACCACAACCTGAACATTATGGACCTACTGCTCTTGTTTCAATTGCCAAGACAAACATATTTTGGGAATTCTCATTTTGCTGCCTGAATTTTACCAATGAACTATGACCTACAGCTATATGTAAATATGAACCAATCAGGAATGAGCACAGTTGTAACCCTCATTTGCATAAAGTGGACCACAGTAAGAACTTGGGCTGGAAATTCCTCTATAAGTTAACCCCTCCCTCTCTTTGTTACTTTGCAGTACATGTTCATTTTAACTCCCTGGTTTGCAAACTTGCTATTTTTTTGTTTTTTAGATGAAGCCTCTTCTTTTCTCTTGAGCCTATTTTAAATGAATTTTGATTGACAGGGATTACTAGACTTATTGTGATTAGAATGTTGTTAGAAACACAAATTAGGACCATGCTGATGAGGTTTCAGATGGACATGAGGAACAAGGTGTTGGAAACTGGAGTATAATACAGTGGCAAGGAACTTGTTGGGATGATGTTCATATCCTAGACTCTGTGGAAAGCAGGACTTTAGATGAATGAATTAGGATGTCAAAAGAAATATTCAGGCAATAAATTATTTTGGCTGTTTATACTAAAGTGAGAGAAGACAAATGATTTAAAACCACAATTGATAATTAAATGAGAAACAAAATGGAAACATTTGGAAAATTCCCAGTAAGGCCATGTAAATAATAAAAAGCATGTTCAGGAGAGAATACAAAGGTGTGGACAAGCCACTCTTTTCTAAAGAGATTAATATGGATAAAATGAAACCAGGTTTGAGTCATTGAGACCATAGCAGAATGGCTCTGAATCATTTCAGAAGTTTTCTAGTCAAGCTAAGACCTGAAGGCAAGGTTTTCAGAGAAGTGCCCATGGGACCTCAGCTTTTACTGCTTTGGGACTCTGCTCTGTGAGTTCTAGCAGAGTGCCCCTTATCCTCCCAATCCAGGGTTCAAGTGAGTTTGGATGTGGTTTCACCTACCACTCCAGAAAGTGCACGCTTTAATTTGCCTGCATCGGTGTCATGATAATTCTGTGGGTGCCCTGAGTGCAAGAACTGCAGAGCCATGATAGTCTTCAACTAGATTTCAAAGGATTCACTGGACAGCTTGGGGACCCAGTAAGAGGCATGTTGCATGAACAGAACTAAAACAGAGATCCCCCACTATAGTATGAACCAGAGGAATCATAGAGCAGAGGCCACCACAGAGTTCTCATTAAGGTAATGTAGTATAGCCCTTGAGACCACAGAAATGTGGGAAATTCAATCCTGGGAAGGCTTAGGCACTAGACTTCATCATAAGAGCTGCTGGAGACATTAAGCCCAGCAAAGCCAAGACGGCATGGCTGCCCGAGGCCCTGGGGGGCCACTCCACCCAGAGTATCATGTGGGACATGGAGTCAAAGATTTTTCTCCAGAATTTAGAATTAATGCTGTTTTCCACATTGGGACCAGTTAATACCTTCATCTTGCCTACTTCTCCATTTTGGAATGAGAATACCTATTCCAGGCCTGTCTCATGATTATCTTTTGGAAAGAGACTTCAGAGGCTTCAGAGCTGGAGGGAAATTTGCTCAGTATGAATCCTGGCATGAATCTGGCCCATATCTGAACTAATGAGACTCTGGACTTTGGACTTTTGAGTTGATAGTGCAATAAGTTAAGTGTTCGGGGTGATGGGTACGGTATAAATAAAGTTTATATGGGAGAAGGAGATGAATTTGGGGGACCAGGGATGAATGTTATGGTATGAATATCTCTCTTAAAAAGTTCATGCACAATAACACTATGCACAAATGAAAAGTGTTGAGAGATGGAACGTTTAAGAAGTGATTAGGTCATGAGGGAATTGTCCTAAAGAATGGATTAATGAACTTTTTCATGGGAGTGGATTTATTATCATGAATTTGCATTTGTTATAAAAAGAAATCTCTCTCTCATGCTCTCACGCACATTTGTTTTCCTCTTTGCTCCTTGGGATGATATAGAAAGCAGGCACACCTCAGCTAAAACCCCTTGATATTAGACTTTCTAGTCTCCAGATCTATAAGTAATAAATCTCTGCCTTCATCAAATAGACATTCTTAGGTTTTCTGTCATAGAAGTACAAAGCAGACTAAGATAATGACATCTCTGGGGAAAGAATAGGGTAACCAGACATGGCTAATTAAGGATAATAGAGGGTACTAGGTAGGTAACAATTTGGGGAAAAACTCCAGTAGATCAATGAGTTCCCTTTACTTACTGACTCTCATCCCATGAGACAATAACAACCTTCACACTCTCTGTACCCCTGGTCAGAATTATAATTTGAACCATATGAAACTTATGATTTTGAGTACTCTTGATTTTCAAAAATAGAATGTCATATACTTTATATTATACTGTTGAATTCCTTCCTGTAGGCTCAATTCAGAGACATGGGAGGTGTAGGGGAAACTGATGGTATAGAAAGATTCAAAACAGACTCATAAACCAGTCATGGAGGCCCTCGCCTGTAATCCTAGCGACTTGGGAGGTTGAGGAAGGAGGATAGTCTCAGCCCATGTGTTCAGCCAGCCTGTGCAACATAGTGAAAACTTGTCTAAGGAAAGAAGGAAGGGAAGAAGGAAGGAAAGAAGAAAAGAAAAAGTTAAAAGAATCTTAAAGAGTACTAACCTATTTTTTTCAGAAGATGCTCATTAACTACAGGTTTATTCCAAGGTCTAAGTGCTCTGCTTGAGTTTCAGGGTGCTTTCCATAGGAGAAAGAGAGAGCATTAAAACTAACTTTCCTTGGAGCATCTGCAGTACAGGGATTCAGTACTGAATGTTTATACTTCATAAACACTGAAGTTTGGGAAGAAAGAGAAGATAATGGAGGATACCTCTTGTTATATCCTCACACATGAGACAGAGGTGGCAACCACATGGATGCTGGTGAGGATATAACACAGGATCCTCCAAAAGAAACCCTTCCAATTCCCTTAGACTCCCATAAAAATTTTCAGAGAATTCTTTCTTCCTTGTTTCTGGCATAATTGAACACAATAAAGGGAAGTGCTATAGGGGAATTTTTAAAACATCATTATTTCTAAGTCTCCTCAAGTCTCTGAGGAAATATGATGTGATGCTAGAGAGGTTCCACTTCAGGGAGCTGGGAAGAAATGTTGTATATAGAGGTCCTCTGCACAGGTCTCCTAGAGAGGACAGCATCTGGGCTTGTATACGTGTGTGTGTGTGTGTGTGTGTGTGTGTATGCGTGTGTGTGTAAGTGTGTAATTTGAGACTCATGTGATAAAGATAAGCAGATACAGAGAAAACTCACACATTTTTGAAGGATTTTGCCTGGACAAAGTGTGAAAGTTAACTCCCATCCTTCCCCCATCCCCCAATATCAGCTCAGCACCCAAGGTGTGCACTTACGGCGGGTATCCCTGGCCAAACCCACAGGAGGGCTCAGCAGCATCAGTATCACAGTCAGAGCTGCCATACAGGAGCATCTGGGAAGCCACAGACACACCATGCTGGAGAACAGGAGAGGATGGATGACAGAGGATCAGGCAAGTGCCACTCAGTGAGAACAATGGCCCTTATCACCTACATCCCAAATAATAACAACCAAGGTGTTCATTTGTTTGATGTTAGATTTGGTAATCTTAGTGTTGAAGAACCAATCAGCATCAGAGATGAAAATCATCATCAGTTGGTAGTCAGAGACTCAGTATGAGGGCCCTGTTCTGCAACTTACAATTTCCTCTATGAAAATGACTGCTTTAATTTAGTCTTTTAAAGATTTGATCCAGTTGCATCTGAAATATTAATTAGACTATCTGTGAACTGTCTCTGTTGGCCTCTGACACAATAACTCTGGCTTTATAAGAATTAATATCTTATATGAAAAATCGTTCAATTCCTTAATCATAGTTCCCATTATGATTTCCTCATTTTATTGAGGATATATTTCTTTATCATTCCCCTTCTTCTACCTTATACTAAGAAAATATGCAAGGAATTTGCTAATGAATACATTATAGAAAATTCAGAACATGATAAAAAATATGACTTACATAATTTAATGTAATCATATAAATTGAAGCATAATTTTATCATTCAATAATTATGCATTATATTAATATAAATGTAATGTCTTAGAATGGACTAGAAAGGACAAATATACATATAAAATTCATCATTACTTCGAATTCTGCCATGGTTCTAATAAGCAGTCTTTCCCTATGTGCCCTAGCATTTCTAAAGGTAGAAGTCACCATGCAGCAATAAAAATCATGAAAATTAACTTAGTGATTTTTTTGTATTTTTACTTTGTCCTCAGAATTGTCCTGAGGGATTTTTATACATGCTATTTTAAATCAACTCTCATATCAGCACAGCAAGATAAGTAACCATTCCACTCCCAGAGATGGGGAGAATAAAGTGATGGTGAACAAGCAACTTGCAAGGATACATGTTGTCCTTTTTGTGCAACAAAGTTTGAATGACTTGTACATGACCCAGTTTCTAAAGAGAATAATGTCTCTCATATGAAAATTACTTTATCACTTAAGTCATGAATATGCATATCAGTAAGGCTACTTTTCAATGAATTATAGCATTTTATTTTACATAATGTGAGTCAACCACTGTGCTGAAATTATAGCTACCTCAAAAGATTCTCTTCATCTCCATAGCTATTCTACTCTGGAGAGAATGAAATTTGGATTTATCCTTTGTAATGACATTTATGGCTCCACACAATTCCTAAATCCAGTTTATCACTCTTGATCATTATTTCAGCTTTCTTAGCTTAATGTGGGGGAAGTTTGATGAACTCAGAGCAAAACAGAAATGGTATCTCAACTTCATTGAAAAAGATATATTTCTATTAATGTGGAAAATTTGAAATTTCTTAAAGAAATTGAAAAAAATTCACTATCATTCCTGAATTTCAGAAGAAACTCTTTGTTCCTAAATCTGAATGATAATTCATAACTATGGCTAAGCATGCAGTTGCAACCAGAACATTACATTTAATATGACCAGCAGAAAAATTATAACTTAGAAACTAACTGCAATGAGTGGTATTATAAGAAAGTGAAGCTAAGCTTTTCCTGGGAATTACAGAATAAAATGGAGAGCAAAGAAAAGAAATTTCAGATACCCTAGTTGCCATCTTTATTTGGGGTAACTCCTATCTTGGGACACGGGCCCAACACCCCGACCCTCCCCATCCCCAGGCCACCAACCTAGCCCAGTGCTTGCAGCTTCTTGGCTGGCCCCCAGCTCTCAATGCTAAGTCCTAAAATGCTCTATACAAAACATCTCTCCACAACAGTCATGCAGATCCCTGTGCTCAGCCCCCAGGACCTCTGGAGAGAGAGATTCCTGAATGCAAAGTAGAAAGGGCAGGGGTGAGAGAGATACAGTTTAGAGACTAAATTAGAGAACAGGAACTGTGGGGACCACAAGCAATGTAAGGAACTAAGATCAGGTGCCCACATCACATGAGTGGACCCCAAAGGAGATTCCTGGGGATCTTCCAATGGGGATTGGCAAGTGCTATACCCCACCTCCAGGAGTTCTACCACTAAGACCACCCATCCCACCCTAATAACCTTCAGCATCCTGAAGGTGGAAATACCAGCCCACTCCAGACAACCACAACAATTGAATGAGAAAGGAAGCAGGGAAGATATTGATCTCCAACAGACATAATTGTTCAATTTTCCTTTGAGATTTTTTCCCTTTTTTCCCCACCCTCACATCCCCAGTATTTGTGAAACCAAGCACTTTTCATGCATTGGGCTACTGAGGACTGGGGTGTCTGAATAGTATAATATGGTTTTGTTGTATATTCTTTTATCCTTTATTTTTACACTTTTTTTCTTTTAAATATTTTACTCACTCTCTATATTTTCCTCCCACTTATCTGTCTCCCCAGTCTCTTTCTCTCTTTTCTCCTGCTAACAGCCAACTTCTTTTGATTCCTCATTCATGCTTCCTATGATCTAATACCTCTATATTCTCACTTTCTACCTCATTAACATCTCAGCCTACACCTCCCATCTTCCTTTGTCCACCATTAGAAACTGTAGACTCTTTTGAAAACTTACTTCTTATATTGTAGATAATAACCAAACACACCCTTTCTGTTTACTGTGACAAACCTGTAGATGTCTAATAGACTATTTGGTTTAAGGCTGAATATTGTTTCACTGAGTGCTGTTAATAGTGATCTCCCTCTTCAAGGCAAGGAATTCGAAACCTGCAGGAACACTATAAGTCTAAAGGATAAAAACTGTAACACCTTGGATCTGTACTGCTAGAGGGAAATACACACAAATAACATGACAAAACAAGGGAAGAAAGTGCCCCCAAACAAACCAAGATACTACAATAATAGGATCCTTTGCCAGCACAGTAAAAGAAATGTCAGAGAAGCAGTTCAGAATTAAAATGATCTGTGAGGTAAAGGATGATATAAGAGAGAAAACTCAATAAAAGATCACTTCAATAAGCAAAAGACTACTTCAATAAAGAGATAGAGATTCTAAAAAAAATCAGAAATCTTTAAAATGAAGGAAACAATAAACCAAATTAAAAACTCAAATAAAGTGTCACAAACAGACTGGATCACCTAGAAGACATAACCTCAGGCAATGAAGACAAAATATATAATCTCAAAAATAAAGTTGACCATAGAGTGAAGATGACAAGAAATCATGAACAGAACTTCCAAGAATTATGGGATAACACTAAAAGACCAAATTTAAAAATTATTAGGATAGAGGAAGGCACAGAAGTACAAACCAAAGGAATGAGTAATCTGTTCAATAAAATAATATCAAAACATGTTTTTCAAACCTGAAGAATAAAATGGAAAATCAAATACAAGAAAGTTACAGGATAAAAAATGTACAAAACTAAAATAGATCCACACCAAGGCACATTATAATGAAAATGCCTAGCATACATAACAAGGATAAAATTTTAAAGGCCACAAGAGAAAAGTATCAGATTACATATAGGAGTAATCCAATTTGAACTCAGCAGATTTCTCAACCCAGTCCTCAAAGCCAAGACATCTTAGAAAAACATATACCAAGCTATGAAAGAAAATGGATGCCAAAAGAATCATATATCCAGAAAAACTAAGCTTCAGATTTGATGAGAAAATAAAAATCTTCCATGATAAACAAAAGTTAAAAGTATTTTACAGCTAGAAAGCCCACACTACAGAACATCCTCAGCAAAATATTCCAAGAAGAGGAAATAAAAACAGCAATGAAAATCAGCAAAGGGAGGAATAACACTAAAGGAAAAGCCAATCAAAGGATAAATCAAGTCAAGTTAAAAACAAAAAATAAACCAAAATGACTGAGAATACAATCATGTCTCAATAATAACCCTGAATGTTATTGGCCAAACACATAATCAAAAGACATAGACTGGCAGATTGGATCAAAAAAAAAAATATGCAGACTTCAAGAGACTCATCTCATAGGAAAAGACTTCCATGGACTAAAGATGAAAAAAACATACTACTCACATGGACTGTATAAACAAGCAGGGGTTTCCATCCTCATGTAAGATAAAGTGGACTTCAAGCCAAAATTTTTCAGAAGGGATAAGGAAGAACATTTCATGCTGCTTAAGGGAACTATACATCAACAAGACATAACAATTATAAATATATATGTCCCAAACAATGGAGCATCTATGTACATCAAACAAATTCATCTCAATTTCAAAAATCAAATAGACTGCAACACAATAATACTTTAACACACCTCACTCACCAATGCATAGATCTTCCAAACAAAAACTAAACAGAGAAAATATAGAACTCAACAATACAATCAAAAATTTAGACTTCACAGACATATGTAGAGTATTTCATCCATCAATGAATGAATACACTTACTTCTTAGCAGTACATGGATCCTTCTCTAAAATAGACTATATACTATGCCACAAAGCAAGTCTTAGCAAATACAAAAAAAAAAAAAATACAAACATTACCCTGCATTCTTTCAGATCATAATGAAATGAAATTAGAAACCAATGATAAAATAAATAATAGAAGCTACTCCAACATCTTCAGACTAAATAATATGCTATTGAATGAATGATGAATAGCAGAAAAAAAATCAGGGAGGAGATTAAAAAATCTTAGAGAAAAATGAGAACACCAATACAACATGTCAAAATCTCTGAGACACTATGACGGCAGTGCTAAGAGGAAAGTTCATTGCATTTAGCTCATTCATTAAAAGAATAAAAAGCCAACAAATAAATGACCTAACATTACATCTCAAAGCCCTAGAAAAAGAAGAACAAATAAACACTAAAAGTAGTAGATGACAAGAAATACTTAAATTCAGAGCTGAAATCAATGAAATTTTAACATAAAAAATTCAAAAAATTGATGAAACAAAAAGGTGATTCTTTGAAAAACATGAAAAAGGAAATATCACAGTGGTTAAAATTGAAATACAAAAGATAATTAGAAATTATTTTGAAAATTTATACTTCAATAAAATCGAAAATCTCAAAGACATTGACAAATTTCTAGAGATATATGATGTACCG